TAATACTAAATTCTACTATCTAATTGTCCATTACGTCAATATATGTACGATAGTCCACATATATACAAAAAGTACTATTATACCAGGAGCATGTGCTGATCCCATATGCCCTATATTGCCTCCTCCATTTAAAGATAGGTATGACATTTACACCAAGGTGAATTTATTTATTCCCCTGTCACCAGCCATTCGAGCAACGATGAAGTCTAAGGATTGCGAAGCGCAGAGTGAACGTGGCCTGGATAGGATGGTACACAAATATCTGGAGAGAAGGGCCACGATGCTGTCTGAACTACATATAGCACCCGGAGATCACAAACATCAGCTCATGGTGAGACTTGCTTTTCCTTCTGCTAGGTGTGGGTATTGGTGGTGATGGTATGGGTATCGTGGTGTTTCTACCACATCATTTCCACCTCCTCACCATGACTATCCACAAATAGGTGGGTAGACGTGGTGAGGGGTGGAAATTTGGGCAATCAAATGTAGACTAAGGTGGGGATGTGGGTTTGCTCCAGGTGCGTGTGTGGTGTGTGAGGGTGTGGCTGAACGCCTGGGTAAATATAAGTTGTTTGTCAGGTATACATTACGCGCGGTGTAATCTGGAACGGGCGGCGAGTTCTGGAAACCACAGCATTTTAATAATTTAAAATTCTAGAGGTGCACACATATATTTTAATTTCAGTTACAACAGTGTGTATCTGGTATCATTACTGTTATGATAAACCATTGAAAGTGTTATATAAATTAATTATACACTTTAAACACAATCTGCAGCTGCTACTATGGATACATGTAGGCTTACAAAGCAGTCGACTGTAATAATGGAGGGAATATCTAATATAGCAGCAGGAAAGGTATGCTCAATTTAAAAGCAAGGTATCAATTCGTTGATTCAAGACAGATGGTGGCGTGAAAACCTTCTTGAAAGCCATTGTGTGCCTAGGCTATATTGCACCTACGGAGAATCATTGCAGATTCGTTACAGTGGCTAGATTATAGTGTGTTTACGGACACAATAAAACGCGTGCTTTTTATTGGGCTGGCGACGGTCCAATTGTTGCAAACAAGGCAAATTTTAAGCAAAATGGACGTATATATTGCGAAATAATGTTGTATACTAAGTGTTAGTGATCGTAGTCAGCTGGGTCTGTTTATAACATAATTACAGGATATGGAATTATGACTTGAGAATGGTCCAGGACGGACCGAAACGTCGTCGTCCCTTCAATTTCTAGTGTGTGGTCTGGTCAACATACTTCAGCCACGTTATTGTGACTCATCGCCTGCATAATTACAGGATATGTTACAACAATCTACTTTTTTTTTTAACCAAATGTATTATTTTCAACCTTCATATTTGTTGTTACAACTTTTTTGCTTCATTTGCGCAGTTTACTTCCGCTTCTCAACAATCTATGGCGACATCAACAAAGTGCAAAGTTAAATACACGTTTTATATGCGATATTCAAAACCTAAATACAATGCCCCAACTATTTTAAAATGACTCGTGGCCCCAAAAAATATAAATTACTACATTAAAAAAAATAACAGCACTTCGAACCAGAAAAAATTTTCCAGAATTAAACTGCTTAGTCATAACGAATATTTTTTTATTTATTTATATACAAGAAGATACATTGGGGGTTAACAGAGAATATAGAAATTAAGTTGATTTTACATTCTTGTAAAGCCACTAGCACGCATAGCGTTTCGGGCATAGTTTTAATATAATTAAAACTATACTTTTGTTAACCTTCAGAATATCTTGTATACAGGAATGTTTAGTAAGAGATGCTCTAATGAACAATAGCGATGAGTAACATACAAAAAACAATGCGGAGGCTTGCAGTAGACGTGGCTGGTAATAACTCTGGCTGGCGCGCGACACTCCACTGTTGCCATTCCCCCCTCATAATATTCATTATCTTTTAATAGCCTTAACAAAATCTAGTTTCTTAACACTGAGGAACTATAAATTAAGTTGCTCTAAATCGGGTAATTCATTTACTAAAATCTTAGCATGAATATAAATAGGGGATCACATATTAGAATAATGGATTACAAAATAAACAAACGAACACGTGGATATGTTTACATCCATGACGTCACAAGAAGGTGGCATGATGCAGCGGTGCCACATCTTCACGTTTCTTGTTATTTTATATAATATACTGTATCAACAATTCAAATTAAAGAAATTCTATTACACAAATGCTAATATAAATTAAAATATAAAATAATATTGGGTAGATTAGAAGGGATTACAATCCCACATTGAGGGAGTACAAGAACTTCACTTGGCAACCATCTGTCAATTCCTCTCAGTACCTACCACCTCCGCATCTAGGCACTACAATGAACACGAAAGAACATCATACAATTAGTCAGCAACCTATTTAGAAGAAACATATGTTCGTACAATCAAAATAACACGTCACGTAACATTTTCCGAGTGAGAGACCTGTTGTCCTTGACTGGCAACACTAGAGACAACCGCGGCAGGTGTAAAGGTAAACAAAGCACTCAGCCTCACATGGATATAAAAAGATAGTTTGAATTGAATTCAATTACATATACGGCACTATATTAAGTGTATATATATATATATATATATATATATATATATATATATATATATATATATATATATATATATATGTCGTACCTAGTAGCCAGAACTCACTTCTCAGCCTACTATTCAAGGCCCGATTTGCCTAATAAGCCAAGTTTTCCTGAATTAATATATTTACTATAATTTTTTTCTTATGAAATGATAAAGTAACCCTTTTCTCTATGTATGAGGTCAATTTTTTTTTATTGGAGTTAAAATTAACGAAGATATATGACCGAACCTAACCAACCCTACCTAACCTAACCTAACCTATATTTATAGGTAAGGTTAGGTTAGGTAGCCAAAAAAAGCTAGGTTAGGTTAGGTTAGGTAGGTTAGGTAGACGAAAAAACATTAATTCATGAAAACTTGGCTTATTAGGCAAATCGGGCCTTGAATAGTAGGCTGAGAAGTGCGTTCTGGCTATTAGGTACGACATATATATATATATATATATATATATATGTCGTACCTAGTAGCCAGAACGCACTTCTCAGCCTACTATACAAGGCGCGATTTGCCTAATAAGCCAAGTTTTCATGAATTAATTGTTTTTCGACTACCTAACCTACCTAACCTAACCTAACCTAACTTTTTCGGCTACCTAACCTAACCTAACCTAAAAAGATAGGTTAGGTTAGGTTAGATAGGGTTGGTTAGGTTCGGTCATATATCTACGTTAATTTTAACCCCATTAAAAAAAAATTGACCTCATACATAATGAAATGAGTAGCTATATCATTTCATAAGAAAAAAAATAGAGAAAATATATTAATTCAGGAAAACTTGGCTTATTAGGCAAATCGGGCCCTGCATAGTAGGCTGAAAAGTGCGTTCTGGCTATTAGGTACGACATATATATATATATATATATATATATATATATATATATATATATATATATATATATATATATGTCGTACCTAATAGCCAGAACGCACTTCTCAGCCTACTATTCAAGGCCCGATTTGCCTAATAAGCCAGGTTTTCATGAATTAATGTTTTTTCGTCTACCTAACCTACCTAACCTAACCTAACCTAGCTTTTTTTGGCTACCTAACCTAACCTTACCTATAAATATACGTTAGGTTAGGTTAGGTAGGGTTGGTTAGGTTCGGTCATATATCTACGTTAATTTTAACTCCAATAAAATAAAATTGACCTCATACATAGAGAAAAGGGTTGCTTTATCATTTCATAAGAAAAAAATTATAGTAAATATATTAATTCAGGAAAACTTGGCTTACTAGGCAAATCGGGCCTTGAATAGTAGGCTGAGAAGTGAGTTCTGGCTACTAGGTACGACATATATATATATATATATATATATATATATATATATATATATACACACACACACACTAATGCCACATATATCAGGAAGGAAAACTTCAGGAAAACATGGAGGAAATGTATATGTTTATCTCTCAGAATGTTTGGTAATATGTTTATTGTTTGTGATGTGTGTATATGTATGTATTAACACGATGTACTGAACGGGGTGAGAATAGCTTGAGCTACCTCATCCCTTTGTGTGTATTTTACCTCAATAAACTTATTTCAATTTCAATTTCAGGAAAACACGGCTTATTAAGCAAATCGGGCCTTAAGCATCAACATATTAAGCATCAACAAGTGACAGTGTCACGTTGCTGGTAATAGTGCCAGTGACAGCGTTATACTGCACTGCAGTTGACAGTAGGCCAATAAGTGCGTTCTGATTATCAGGTAAAAACTTCTCAATATTTCTTGTTTTTCTTCACTCTGGAAGGAATTTGAAAGCTGACTCTGGGAAGTTCACTTTACAATTTTAATGGTCCTGACGCATTTTTGTAAATGAGCCGTTTCGCCGAAGCTCTCGCCCTTCGGAGGCAGAGAAAATTTGAAAACAAATTGGCAGAGATGACAGTATGTATTCCATGTAGGATTAGAAGTTATGTGTTATCATCAACAAGTGACAGTGTCACGTTGCTGGTAATAGTGCCAGTGACAGCGTTATACTGCACTGCAGTTGACAGTACTCACCACAGTCATACTACATCATACTACATCATCACAGTGTCATACTACTTGATGCAGATGAAAAGTCTCAATAACGTGGCTGAAAAATGTTGACTCATACTACTTGTGATTGTCACTGAACCAAACACCTCACCTCATTTTAGCTCTCTCTGCATCCTAGTCAAAATCGTGCAATATTTAATGTCTCACTTACCTAGACATAATTACGGGCTCACTATAGCCCGTGCTACGTGGAAATATTGTTCGGAGTAGCTGAATCTAAAACAACAACAACAACTAGACATAATTCTGTCCTATGCTCAACCTACACTCCTAGGTTTTCTTGTAACTAATTTATCTACATTAAAAAACTGCAAGTCTTACCGGACTGAGCCAAGACTTCGATGTCGGAGTCCGTTTCATCGCTGAAGTCCTCGGGGACGACCGTGGAGGCCTCGTCATCGTCATCGTTTGCGTCACTCGTCGTGTCGTCGCTACCCACGTCCTCCTCATCTTTTTTACCAGTCACGGTAGGGGTCGTCGTCTTGGTGGTGGTGGTGATGGGGGAGGAATGAGGTGGAACGTTACTTGTGCTGGAAGAGGATGAGGGACGTGGTACTGTGTTAATGGCCTTGGTTACTGTTGTGCTTAAACTCTCTTGGAGTTGTAATGGCGAGGGAAGAAGCAAGGTGGTTGCTTCTAACGCCATCGTTGCATCTTCCTCGTCTTCTCGGTATCTTTTCTTTTCTCCGGGCTTTCGGTGTTCAGTGCTCCTTCGTTTTCTGTTCCTAAGCCCATCATGTGTGACCGTTACTTCCTTTATCTCAGGATCGGACTGTGCTGGAGGGGAGGGTAGACGCGAGTACTCTCCTGGTCCAATAGGCTTTGTTATCTTGTATATGTCAAAGGCTCGGATGTCCTCTCTGTAGCTCACACTATTCCTCAAGTGCTTACCCTCAACTAAGCCTACATTAGATCTCTCCGCCATAGGTTTATAAATATAATTAAAACTACGAGGTTGATTCTCTGGGGGGAGTGCACGGGCTCCGGGTTGTATGGAAGTAGTTGTCTCAGTGATATCATCGATGCCAGAGTGCGTGGACGGGTTCATAGTGTCCGCGTCGCAAGAGGATGCACTACGCCGGCGCATAACAGACAAGATGTCTTCTGATCGAGAGCGGTGAGGACACTGACGCCGCCACCGCCATCTGTCCGCTCTGCTCCCTGGGCTGCCAAGAGTCGCAATTTTTCTCGACCCCGGCGCCGACCCGCGGGACCTTCCTGTAAAACTCCTGGGTAAGTCTGGGCACACTATCCCGCGTATATCATCACTTCTCTTTCCTAGGAATGAATTTGATGAAATCTCTTCCTGATACGCATCATATCTAATCATCTTTTGGTTCTCCTGGTAATTTGTTAATTCTTTGTCCATCTGACGACAAATTATCCCATGGTCGTTCGAGCTAGAACTCAATTCCTGGTCAATCTGAGAATCCGTGGCCAAGTCACCAACTTTCGAATTGGTTGTCTCCTGACTTACCTCTCTACGAGGTGATGCACAAAGGGGCACAGGCGACGGTACCTCAACACATGCTGGAGCAACAGAGGAATCAGACGGAGCAAAACAGCTCTGCCACCACTCGAGGGCCGGGGAAGGGGCAGGCGGAGATGAAATGGCTGTCGGGGACACATTTACCGTACTGGTCCTAGCGCTGGATGGCAGCAACGGCGGCAACGCGGGCCGCGGCATGCCATCACGTGGTGAAAAGGGGGCGTCGAGTACGACCCACGCATCGCAAGGGTCAATCACGTCCACTTTAGCTTCCAAAGGGAGTCGCAGGTTGTCAGGCCGCTTATCTTTATGAGTTGCCTCACAGCCACAGTACAGCTCCCCGCCGCCCTTCTCCCACAGGTGCTCCGTCACGGCCTGCAAACTCCTACCCTCTGTGTGGCCGAGGAGCCTCCTGGTGGTGCCGCAGGCGTGGGATAAGGTGGTGTCGGCCGTGGGAAGATGTTGTTTGGAGGAGTGCGGTTGTTTCGGCCCATCATGATGATGGGGGTCGGCGCCCACCACCCGCCACAGCGTGTGGGACAGCAGGCTACTCACCACGCTCACCATGGTCACTCTCGCCTGTTACGGCCCTCCAGGTGTTAGTCGTGCTTAACAAATACTCGTTTTCAAATTTTCTGAAGCGCAAATGTGCAGAAAATCGACGAATGAAACATAATATTGTATTCTTTTCTCTTTTCTACATCACTTCCATTGAAATGACAATGACTCCGTCAACAAGTTGCAGAGTACAGTGTCAGTAGAAGCCAGGACACCATCTGTGTTTTCCTGAAAGAAGAAGGAAGGAGGTGAAGCAGCAACATTTCCTGCTGTCATCAGCTTAGGGTATGGGGGGGGGATATGAACATTTACACCTATATCACCAGCCTCGCTCGCGCGTGTTTGTGTCTGTCTGTCTGTCTGCACTCGACCCTGTTCTTACAGTCGGACACCTGCTCTTAAGCCCCACATTTCGACCATCTATATGTCAGTGCAGTGACTTTTCACTTGTTTTCTTTAAATATTTGCATTTAAAATTGTGTATCGAATTGGCGTCGACAACTTCCTCGTCCAGACCGTTCCCATTCTTGACGTCTCTGTGACTCATCTGTGTTCCCAGTTCCCAAATATATCCTCTCGTTCTTCTGTTCCTTAATTTGAGTTTCGCTTCTATATATATACTTTGGCAATCTCCTTAAGTATCTAGTCTGTGGGCGCGTGTATGTATGTATGTGTACTTACTATTTGTATTTGCTATTTGTCTGCAGAATCGAGCTATTAGCTCTTGTACCCCGACTTTCTAACTAATCTATTTTCCCTCTTTTATATCTACTGACACACACCCATCCATCCTAGGGGGCTGTGACTGAGTGGACAGCGCTTAGAACTCGTAATCATAGGGTCCGGGTTCGATCCCCGGCGATGGTGATAAACAAATGGGCAGAATTTCTTTCACCCTGATGCCCCCGTTACCTAGCAGTAAATAGGTACCTGGGAGTTAGACAGCTGTTACGGGCTGCTTCCTGGTTGTGTATGTGTGTGTGTGGAAAAAGGTGATTGATTGACAGTTGAGAGGCGGGCCGAAAGAGCAGAGCTCAACCCCCGCAAGCACACGTGTTTGGCGGCAAATTTTTGGGGCGACCTTTAGTAAATCTGCGGAAGTCAAGACCCACGTTTGACTACCTTGATGGGGTCAAGGTTACGCAGGTCGGGGAGGAATGAGTTGAACGCAAGTCAGAGGCGTATAAATAGACCACATTATGCGGCAGCTACGATCCGAGCACCGCTCCTATGCCAGTTAAATGCACTACGGGCTCACCATAGCCCGTGCTACTTGCCCCGCTCCTGTGCCAGGTAAGTTACGGGCTCACCATAGCCCGTGCTGCTTGGAACTTGTTCCCGAGTAGCTGAATCTATAACAACAACAGCGGCAGTTACGTGTGGGTATTGTACGCATCTAAGACTAATTGATACTGGCTTTAATAGGTCTAATAGGTGGGTGAAAACAGGTGGGTATATAGATCAATATTGACTAAGACACTACTGTACAACACTAGTAAAGTCTGTGTATGTGACGCTTTATACATAGTAAGGACGGGCATATTAGTAAGGATATAGTAAGGATATAGTAAGGCATAGTAAGTAAGGACATAGTAAGGACATAGTGTGAGCGGGGGATCACTGCTCACATACCCTTACACAGTATGTAACAGGGGTTTGGTAGCTGAATGGACAGCGCGCGGGACTCGTAATCCTGTGGCCCGGGTTCGATTCCCGGACTAGGCAGAGACAAATAGGCAGTTTCTTTCACCCTGATGCCCCGGTTAGCACCATTCACCTAGCAGTAAATAGGTAAATGGGATTTAGACAGCTGTTACAGGCTGCTTCCTGGGTGTGTGTGAAAAAAATTTAGTAGTTAGTAACAGTTAATTGATTGACAGTTGAGAGGCTTAATTGTGCTTGCGGGGGTTGAGCTTTGGCTCTTTGGTCCCGCCTCTCAACTGTCAATCAACTGATGTACAGGTTCCTGAGCCTACTGGGCTCTATCATATCCACACTTGAAACTGTGTATGGAGTCAGCCTCCACCACATCACCCCCTAATGCATTCCATTTGTCAACCACTTAGACACTGTGTGTGTGTGTGTGTGTGTGTGTGTGTGTGTGTGTGTGTGTGTGTGTGTGTGTGTGTGTGTGTGTGTGTGTGTGTGTGTGCGCGCGTATTTTAGAAATATATGTAGCAGATATAATAGAGGAAAAATAGATTGGTTAGAAAGGCGGGATCCAAGAGCTAATCGTTCGATTCTGCAGACACAAATAATTAAATTACATACACACATCCCCAGGAAGCAGCCTGCAGCGGCTGTTTAACTCAGGTACCTATTTACTGCTAGGTGAACAGGACCATCAGGTGAAAAACTCTGCCCATTTGTTTCGAAATCAAACCCGGGTCCTTAGAACTACGACCTCCGAGCGCTGTCCGCGAGCGAGAGTATGTATGTTTGTGTATATTCACCTAATAATACTCACATGAGTGTGCCTGCAGGACCAAGCATGTGCTCTTGGGTCCCGTGGGTGAATGTTTCAGCCATAAACACAAGCGGCCAAATGACTCGCATCATCCCCAAATATAATTCAAAGAGCCGTAGAAAAAAGTATTAAGAGTCGACAACGTTAACACATCAACACTACCCATCCATTCATCTATCTACTCCCTGTTTCTGTCTCTGCCTCTATTTGTCTGTCTTTTTGTCTGTCTGTCTATGTTTGTCTCTGTCTTTGTCTGATTCGACAATAAACTTGACGTATACAAATATAATTGTCTAATGCGTGAGTGGTCGCCAGTGAGAGGGGGTTCAAGTGGCATGGAATACTGAACGAAGAATAGTTACCCCTAACTCTGGTAAGCGCCGTGGCTTGAGGCGCCTGTGACGCTGCGGAAGAATCGTCTATTTTATGCGAGTTCGGGCAAATTATTCACAACATGAAATTTCCGTTAATTTTCCCAAGATCAGTGAATAATATTGCATATTACTATAAGAAAAAATATTGTTTTCATATGTTTGTTTTGCAAATATTTAGCTATGTAGCTGGCGGGCAGTGCCAAAAATCAAGGGGGGGGGGTCTAAGTTTGGCACTGGCAGGCTGTTCCCTCTTGAAATCTAGCGACCCCAACCAGCCTATGTTCATCCCGTACGCCAGACCATTCCCTCTGCCAATTTGGGTTGGGCTAGCCCCAATCGTATGGCTCCAACTTTGAACAGAAAGACATTCTCTCATATACAATGAGAATGTATCGTAGCCTAGTGAATTGACGTCTTACGCATCATGACGTCACAGGTCAATTCACAAACTAACGACAGATGGTGGACCAGTACGCTGAGTGGGAATATATATTGTTTAAATATTCACGATGTTTCACTTTATATAAACACTGAAGTAGTAAAATAGCTGAATTTCCTAATGAAATACACGCTTTTATCGCTTAAATTAAAACAGATGAATTCGGCGATTAGTGTAGTCGGCTCATTCTCAATTGGTTATGGGTTCGATTTCCTGGGAAGGCAAGATGTTGAGCTAATCTTATATATATCTGATGCCTCTGTTCACCTAGCAGTAAACATGTACCTGGCAATCAGTTAACTGTCCCTCAGCACTCAGTATACATTTACTAAACAAACAAAAAATCTACCACTTTCGGGCTATTCATGCCTGTGCCACCTCTTGGGTGGCCTAATCCTCATCAATCAATCAATCAGTGAACTGTTATGAATCAGTCGTTCGGGGAGACATCTCCCGTCACGCAGGGTGCAGTCACACCTCCACAGATCTCCAGTATCAGCTCTTGATACTGGTAATGGTTCAAAAGGGCCACCACTTACGGGCTATTCATGCCCGTGCCACCTTTTGGCACGGGCATGAATAGCATTTTGGGTGGCTTAATCTTCATCAATCATCAGTCAGTCGTTGGCTACGGGCACCTCGATAACACATCTCGCCACGGTAGTAGCCTCTACAAGAACTAAGGTCTCCAGCATCGCCCTCGGCTCTCTCTTCGAGGAACGCGAAGAATCTTCCGCTGAACGCAAGCTAGAACAGTGTGACGAGCTGCTGATTGATTGATTGATAAAGATTAAGCCATCCAAGAGGTGGCACGGGCATGAATAGCCCGTAAGTGGTAGACGAGCTGCTGCACAAGGTGCCCAGAAATATCAACTCTTAATCTGGTCCCGCGGGACAAGGGATCAGTGGGAGGACAAGTGGAGTGGTGAGGTTGGCACCAGCTCCCACGCGCCATTTGCTGGCCAGGGGAACCTGCGTGGCGATGTGCTCAGTCTTGGGGGGCGGGGGAGACCAAGAGAAAGGGTATGCTCAGTCTGGGGCACAACAGGAGTGGTGGTATGCTCAGTCTGGGGCACAACAGGAGTGGTGGTATGCTCAGTCTGGGGCACAACAGGAGTGGTGGTATGCTCAGTCTGGGGCACAACAGGAGTGGTGGTATGCTCAGTCTGGGGCACAACAGGAGTGGTGGTATGCTCAGTCTGGGGCACAACAGGAGTGGTGGTATGCTCAGTCTGGGGCACAACAGGAGTGGTGGTATGCTCAGTCTGGGGCACAACAGGAGTGGTGGTATGCTCAGTCTGGGGCACAACAGGAGTGGTGGTATGCTCAGTCTGGGGCACAACAGGAGTGGTGGTATGCTCAGTCTGGGGCACAACAGGAGTGGTGGTATGCTCAGTCTGGGGCACAACAGAAGTGGTGGTATGCTCAGTCTGGGGCTCAACAAGAGTGATCGCTCAATATATCCTCCGGAAACTATATAATACTTACAGTAACTATGTAGGACGAATGTACCATGTATGGATGGACCACCAGTACTATTAATTTTATAATCAACAAAAAATAAAGTTAAAATAAAACCTAAATATTCCTAGGTCTGGTTTAACACATATATACCACAGTAGGCCTAAGACAGCTTGTATAAGGCTTAGGATTGGTAGAATATATGTCTTATACTTAAGCTCAATAACACAAAAGTCAACTTGCTGGTGGTCCATCACGATATATTCGTATTTTCGTCCAATAATTATTATAAGTACTCTCATTTTAGGAGGATAGGCTGCCCTGTAGTGGAAAAACAAATGATATGCGCATGAAACAAAGTTCAAGTTCAAGTATGTTTATTGAGACAAGAAAGAAATACATCTCAAAGGGCTAGAGTATCTTAGGCTATTTCTACTCCCCCTGAAACAAAGTGTAATTGCTCCAGGTTCTGAACCACACTTCGAAA